AGAAAATTGAAAACATGACTGTCGCTACTCATCGGTTTACTTACTCTGGCAGTAGCACAGGGCAGTAGTAAGTAGCTGTGCCCGAGTTTTAATTTCGTCTACAGCCTGTCCTGCACAGTGATGCCAAATATGAACATTTTCCCCCCAATTTAGAGTATTCTATTAGAGTATTATTTAGAGTATCCTATTCTTATTTCATTATTGTGCCAATTTTTGTCTACCCTGCTTTGATTTGAACTGTACGCCGCTGTTCTAGAGTCACCATTTCAAAATTAGACCGTCCAGTTAAGTATGGCAACTACAAAGGAATTATATATAGAATTCTGATATAGCATATATATATACGTATATACACACGGGCTTACTGCTTGTCTCGGTTTATTCAATACACTTTGCGCTAACACAATAAACAATACATGCCACTAAATCAATTCTCGTCAGTTACTGATAATGTATTCCACCTATATTATGTTGATTTAATAAAGCAGAACGTGTACCATCATATAAGGAATTTCTTGTTCAAATATTTATTACTAATAGAAATCACATTCCTCTTATGTAGAGAATAAGATGTATCCCATCAAAAACATAGAATGTATAAAAATACCAAGTCTCGTAACGCAATTCTTCACTACAAATAGCTATGAGATCTCATGTAACACCGAGTCAATTATTTTATTTAGTTTCTACCCAAGTAGCATTTTTATACACAAAATCGAAAGAAAATCTCTGCTGAGAAACTTTGCGAAACAATTTCGACACATTTTTGATACCTACATATTTGTTTCGTAACATAAATCCCTTTTTGTTTGGAAACATTTTACCAAAATATGGTTATGGCTACATAAGCTATATAACAATATAGATCTTAGTGTCACAAATTTTTCGAAACTTTTAAAAAACAGATGTGGCTCACATTTACAAAGATTTCGTATCCGTTTTGTGCCGGAAGAGTTTTCATAATTTAGTTGATATTCTGTGTCCAATATAAGAAATTCCGTGTCCAATATGAAAAATTCTGTGTCCAATATGAGAACCTAACCTTACTTTATTGTTTGGATATTGTTCTGCAGTTTTTGCATTTTAGTATTCTTCAAGTTTTTATAGTACTATCGTTGATTGAAGGAAATACAGTTCTTTCAATCAACGGTACTATAATTAATAATATAAAGTAGCCGGCCGTAGCTCCAGCGGTAGTGTGTCGATCTGCGGAGCGGAAGGAACTGGGTTCGATCCCCAGCCAGTACGGTCGCTTTGGTCGCTTTGTTTATTTAAATAAAAATAATTATTTATCTAAATAGAGCGACCAACGAGCCGCCACCTCAAGGAAGGCAATGGCAAACCACCTTGAGTATATTTGCCTCGTACACCTCTCAAATAGTGCCGTTCGAATTCGGCGATAAACTGTAGGTCCCGTGTACTTGTGAAACACTGATGACACACATCACAAGTACACGCGAGAGGTAGCCGACGCTCTACCTATATAGAGTATGGCACTGTAAGAAGAAGAGCTGTTTATTGCAAACCACCGATTGTAAATCGTTACTTCAAAATTTTGAAAAGCTCTTTTTAAAAGAGAAAAGAAAAGCAGAAAAGTACTTTGCCAGAATGGCAGCCTAGGCAACGCAACTCTCTCCTGAAAAGGAGAGTTTGAGAAGAAAGAAGAAGAAGATCAAAATGGTTAAAAATAAAGCCTAAACTATCATTTGACATTAAACGGGGAGTTCTAAATAATGTTGCCTATTCTAAACAATAGTATATTGTTTTATTAGGAGTAAAAATGTTTAAAACATTACAGGTGAGGCACAAAAAGTAATTTTTACTCCTACTTAAAATATTTTTTATAAACAATTTCAAACTTTACAAATAATATAAAAAGATTTAAAAGTAATACCCTGTAAGTAATTATATATCGAGAAATTATGGTTCCACTCTTTGAATTTGACACTTTATGTCAGTTTAATAATATAATAAAAGGACAATTTGTTATAAAAAAGGACTGTCCTTTTCAAAAAAGGATAAGTGGCAACCGTAGTACAAATATAGATATTTTTTCTTATGAGATTTTATAATAATTTATATTATATGCCTTACAGAGATGATTTGTTTGAGGAATAAATGTAATAACTAGTGATGGGAAAAAAAGATTAATTTCAATAATCGAGTACTCGAGTTTCAAGCGATTGCAATAACCGAGTGATCGCTCGAGCGAAATATCACTCGTATTTAAAAATACGTATATATAATATGTACATAGTTTTAAATGGGAGCGCGCTCACTTGGCGGAAGCGCAGCGGTCGGCAGCGAAACTATTTAAAACTATGTATTATAAAAACTCCTTTTCGCCGCGCGACTGAGCGCAAGGCAGCGCGGCGAAAAGGAATTTTTATAATACATAGTCACCATAGTTTTAAATGGGAGCGCGCTCACTTGGCGGAAACGCAGCGGTCGGCAGCGAAACGATTTAAAACTATGTATTATAAAAATTCCTTTTCGCCGCGCGACGGAGCGCAAGGCAGCGCGGCGAAAAGGAATTTTTATAATACATAGTCACCATAGTTTTAAATGGGAGCGCGCTCACTTGGCGGAAACGCAGCGGTCGGCAGCGAAACTATTTAAAACTATGTATTATAAAAACTCCTTTTCGCCGCGCGACGGAGCGCAAGGCAGCGCGGCGAAAAGGAATTTTTATAATACATAGTCACCATAGTTTTAAATGGGAGCGCGCTCACTTGGCGGAAACGCAGCGGTCGGCAGCGAAACGATTTAAAACTATGTATTATAAAAATTCCTTTTCGCCGCGCTACCGTGCGCTCCGGCGCGCTTACGGCTAGTGAGCGTCAGCCTTTAAGGTAATATTTTATAAGTTACATAGTACAATTTAACAAGTATAGCAAGAGACGTGAGAAATATAAAATAACACGCGACCGGTGCTATCCCCAAGTCTCTTCCTATATTTGTTCAACTGTACTAATATATTGGATAATAATTAATCTAATAAAGGCGACTTTATAAAAGTGCATTTATCTTTATCACCATTGCAATTTCGTCGTATCTATTAATCAATTAACTATTCTAATTGCGTGTCATTTCAAGGGAATTAATTGTAAAATCCTTTATACTATTGCGAAACTACTCCTCAAAACGAAACCTCAATTTCCAAATGGGAAACGGAAAGTTTTTTGTCGCTTTGAAAAAAAGTCACACGCGTAATTCGTTTTGGCAGACATGAATGGTTTAAAAAGTTCCATTCAATAGAGTGACGGCACAATAATTGAGCCGTTTTTTTCATCCAGTAATTGATGAGCAAGTATTACGGGGGACATATTTAAAATGAAAAATAACAAACTAAAAAGAAAAATTGTAATTGATCTGAATTTTTTATTTTAATTGGGGATTGATTATCGGTTATTAATTGTCCCATTTTTAAGTTTTTTGATCGAATATTTGTTAGGAAATGTTTTTCAATAATACAATTAGCAGGTACAGCATCATATTTCGTTAAAAAACAACAAAATAAATCAATTACAATTTAATTACCAAATTCGGTGTATTTGTGTAATTTTCATACTAGTGTACATGTAATGTTATGGAAAAACAATAGAAATAGAAAAATATAACTATGACATGATAATTACTCTATTAAGTATAATTTAATATAATTCCATACTACTAAAAATGTTTTAAGAACTTGTAAAATACGATTTAATCATGTAAATGGAACAAAAATAAATAAATTAATATAATATACAAAATTGCAAATATATAGGTACGTCATATTCTTATTATTCCTACTATATTAAGTGACAATAACAGAATATGAATAATTATGGTAAAAACAGATTTTAAATTTAAAAATAAAAAAATTATTTATGAATTTTCATGTTACTATAAATATACATACATATGTACCTATATTGTAATGGCAAAACATTTTCCGATGCACGTTATCAATCATATCGACATTGACACTAAAGTCAATAAACCTGACTAAATCAAATTTTGGCAAAAATGTTTAAATTTGTTGTATGTATAATTTAAGATACCGAGCAGCTCATCGTTTTACTTTATAGAGTAAATGATTGTAACAGATATTTTATTTAGATTAAAGCTGCAAAAATTAGTTTAAACCGAATTTTATTATCGCTATGTTAGTCACATTGCGCCTTTTTTAGCAAGGTTGTCGTTCATTATTTGACAATTATCCCAATGTCAGTCATTATTTTGTATAATATCGTGTTGTTGTTGAATCTTTGTGAGTAATTCTCGTTTTTTTTGTCTATTTTCATAGTCTTTTTTAAAAATTGTACTTTTAAACACAAACAGTTCTTTTAAGAACTAAATTTTCGAGTATTGCATTTCTTGAATTTGTGTGTTGAAAATATGCCGAAGCATTTAAACACTCGAAGCAAAGAGCTTGTAGCTTCCCTGATAAACTATTTTGAACGAGAACGTGACAATAAAGGTCCTTTATTACCCTTAACTGCAGTTAGAGAAGTAAGTTTGTTTGATAAGCACATTAGACCACTTTCAAAGTTATTTCTACGTTAGATTTTATTAAATTTTGTGATTATTTGTTTGTGCATTAATAGCATCCTCTTACTTGTTATTACCACTTATGGCGTTGTAAAATGTACATCAATAAATAAATAACCCATAATAACGCTTAGAATCATCTACATAATGGACTAGTTTTTGCCAATATGTAATAAGTAAAATAATCTATAAAACAAATACATCAATTAATTACTAAAATATTAATTATTAACTTAAAAAAAACGTAAAGATCTTTAAAAAATTATATAATTTATTGTTTGTCAATTTTAAATTAAGATTCATCTCATAAATCCATCACAATCTGGCAGCGCTGTCGCCATCGCTTGTCACTCAAAGTTGATCACGTGCATCGGAAATTGTTTTGCGATTACCATATTTTAACCAATTTTATAGATTTTAGAATTTTGTTATTAATTTTTTATAAAAAATATAATTCTACTTACAAACTCTTTTGTCTTCTGACAGCAACATTAGAAATATTTTTTAGTGCAAACATGTCACACTAGTCCACTTCAGGTTTCCTGTCAGCAATATGGCAGGTGTTTTCATGATATGACAACAGATCAGTTGGATTGATCTAGAACAAACAAAGTAAGAATGTCAAAAACACAATCTATGAACATAATTATAGAAAGAAAAAAAATTAAATATGAGTTCATTTCTTATATATAGTTTAAAAGGGAAATTACAAAACACGATATCTACTAAATAATTTTATGTATAAAATTTTATATCATGTGATCGAAAAAAAACGGCGTTAAGGACGGCTGGGGAATGACAATATGTGATAATTTTTTACTTATATTTTAATTGCGCTTATTGCCAGTTGGCCTTAAGGAGGTCGAAATTATTTTTATTTTGAGTAAAAATTATTTTTAAATGGTGTAGTATATATATATATATAGGCTTATATATATATATATATATATATATATATATATATATATATATATATATATATATATATATATATATATATATATATATATATATATATATAAAATACCAGAAAAAAATAATTTTATAGATTATGAATTTTTTGCCATCTTTGTCCGTCTTTGAAGCCGTTTTTTAGATCATACTGTAGTAAAACTATACTCTGGCATTAAGAATTATTTTTATTAGATTTGCTTTGTTTTAAGTCATTCGTTCGAAAAATATTATAGTATAAAAGTCTAAATATAATATATATAAATCTAGTAATGTATAAAGACCTTCTATTCTAAGATAAGACTAAAGAGAAGTTTAAAAATAGACGCTTTTCAAAATAGATCGGTAAATATTTTAGGTTATCTAAATAATCCTGAAATAATAAAAAATATTTCAGGGTAACAGATGAGTGTGTTAATATAATGACAGTCCCAATCATAAACTTAAAAATGGTTAAATTCTATGGTTCCAATATAATATTGGTCATTTGTTGATCAGTTTTCTACAATGTTAAACAAAATTTCTCGTTAATTGTTATAATATTTGGTATTACACAGAAAAATTAATTGCAATAAACCCCACAATTGTAGAAAACACTGCTGCATTTTACGTTCAAAATGGTTACAGTTGGGGGGTTGGAACCTTTGATGCTACAACAGCAAATTAAAACACTAAATCACCACAATTCACATGTTTACTTCTACACTGGACGCGCGTTTCGCTAACCATGCATCAGCAGATGATTAAAACTAAACTAATATCTACAAAATAGAGCGTTTGTATACTCGCTCAGTTGGCTCTGAGTGGGCGTGGCAAGATTTATCCGGTCTACCAATTTTATCTGAGCTATATGTTCTTTAAATCTAGTTAATATTGATCTTCTAGTTTGCCCAACAAGATTGTAATCAGAAATATGTTGAGTTGGTGTGTGGGTAACTCCCACAATTTTGTGTCAGAGAATATTTAGATTATGTTTAAATTTAAATGAAAATCATTATTATGAATTGCAGCACTACTAACTATATTATTTTGACACAATTTACTGTTACTTGGGATTGTTGTAAACTGAGTTAGTGAAGAATAATAACTTAGCTAATAAGAGTACAACAATAATTGTGTAGCATATGTTTATAAAATCACTCACAATCAAAGTACAATGTAGTTTTTTATTTTTGTATTTTATTGATGAACCGCAACTAAATGAATAATGTCTACTGGCTTATGGCTTATTTTAATATCTCACAAGGGATATTAATCTTGTCAAAATATAGTTTTATCAATTTTTTTCAGAATATTTTAATATAAATCACATTAAATTTTAAGATATAATGTATAAATCAAAATGACGCATCTTAACAATAAAACTTTCTATATTCGAAAGTATGGATTTTGATTTATGAAGTTGTATTTATCATGTTATTGACCCAAATAAAAAAACAACCAAATGCTTTATATCCTCGGATGTAGGTATTATATCCTCGGCTGTCAAATGTATGCGAAAAAAATCTTACTAGACTTACGACACTGGACAACAATACAAAATCTGTCATATATCTTCCTACGGTATTGCCATTATGGCAAAAGAAATACAAGCTGCGTTCCCAATTTTTGTGATTTAGTAAGAAATTTGTAGAAATATGAATATCATCAGAGATACATACCGGGTGTTGCATCGTCGTTGGGAACATAGGAAATCCCATGCAAAATTTGAACTGTCCAGATATTGGCTCCCCTATGGATTTTATAGCGAAGTCGTAAATAGACTTTTTAAAGGTCTACATTTGGTAAACACACATGCCAAATTTGAACAATTTTGGACAAGCCGATTTTAGGTAATTTGAGAAAAACTTAATCGATTTTTATATTAAAACCGAACAGCTAACAATCAAACACCAGTCAAAAACTGACATACCTTAGGTTTACAAACTATGATTTTGTCATTGTCAAAAGTAATTTTAGTAAAATTTTAATATTTAGGGAAAATTAACCGAAACATGTCAGATACACTGTCTAATCTATTTCCCGCGTATTTTATCATGTTCACTTTTCTTTATGTGTATAACAATAAATTATTACTAGTACTGAATATTACAATTTTATTAAAATTAAGTTACGTTTGAAAATGACGCTGACAACTTAAGGAATGTCGGTTTTTGACTGGTGTTTGATTGTTACCTATTCAGGTTTAATTTAAAAATCGATTAAGTTTTTCTCAAATTACCTAAAATTGGCTTGTCCAAAATTGTTCAAATTTGGCATGTGTGTTTACCAAATGTAGACCTTTAAAAAGTCTATTTACGACTTCGCTATAAAATCGATAGGGGAGCCAATATCTGAACAGTTCAAATTTTGCATGGGATTTCCTATGTTCCCAACGACGATGCAACACCCGGTATGGTTATAACGCTGTATAACAATTGTTTGCAAATTATATATTTATCGAGAATAGCGATGCGAGACTGGTCTTGGTTTTGCACAAAAAGCAAGACTAAGCATGCAAGACTCAGAAACTATCGGAAACAAGAAATAGCCATTTTATCCGATAGTCAAGCAGCCTTAAGAGCGATCAACTCAGTAACCATCAATTTGAAGTTGGTCAAAGAGTGCCTAGAGAAGCCGAACAAATTAAGCAAAGAAACTAAAGTCCTCCTACTCTGGATAGGAGGTAATAAAAAAGCAAACGATTTGGCTAGAAAAACGCACCAACAAGTAGAAACCAACTTAAACCGGAACTCAAGAACCTGGAACACTCCTTCCGTAACCTTGAATGGGAATCGCCCAACGGTATAAGAAACTCGAAGAAATTTCTCAGGGCTTGAGACCGAGAAAAAGATTTTCCTTGATTTATTGTAATAACAATATTCAGATTGTTACGGGGTTTTTAACAGGAGGATCTCCTCAATGAACACCTCAGTAGATTGAAGCTAAGAAACAACGGTGAATGCAGATTCAGTGGAGAAAATGGGGAAACACCAGAACACCTTATCACTGAGTGCTCCGAGACAACGACCGTTCGTGCCATGAACTTTTGTACGGCTGATGTCGAGGATGGAGAGCCGGCCTTTGTGGAGCCGTTTCAGATACTGGCTCTTGTTAAAGCCCTGAGACTGTATGATGCGTTATAATTCGTTATAACTGAAGAAAGGGTAGCACACAATAGATATGAAAGGTCGCGGTGATCAACCCTCCTCCTAAACATTCTGCATACATACATACTGCACTATTAATATCTCAAACGCCCATGTATTTGAGATAACATATCCTGACATTCTACAACCTCTATAAAACCATCTCAGATACTAGCTTTTGTCAAAACCCCGAGACTGTATGATGAGTTATAACTCAAGAAAGGGGAACAGAATAGATTTATACAATCTACAATCCACCAGACTAAAATCTTCGGGAACTCTGATATAATTGGACGTAGCCATGACATGGTAGTTTTTCAAATTATGGAAAGCGCGATATTATACGGCGGCTTTTTTCGAAATTAACATCAATAAATATAAGTTTTTCCGTCACATTAGCCGGTAAATTATTACGCGTGCCGTATTTAAACGCGTGAATTTCCCAAACCAGTTTCACATGAGTCACCTAGGTCGAACAACTCTGTATTATGTCTGTGTGTGAGTGTTTTGTCTTTTTGCATCGCCGATTTTGTTTAATGTTATTTAACATAGTATGTACATTGTTTTACTCCGACTGAAAAAAAAACGATTCTATTTTTGTTCCATTGTTTTCAGCAAAGAATAACAAAAAAAAATCACTACAATAGAGTTTTTTTTTAAGTTTATAAACCGACTGATTTATCGGAGTACTTAAAAATATTGCGTAATCGAAAAAAAAAACGACGTCATAGTAGGCAGAGAAATACTTTTTGATCGAGCTTTAGAAGGTTTATAGTTGAAGGCAGGGTGCAAAGATTTAAATCAACTTGATTGAAATCATGATCTAAATCGTGATTTAAATCAAAGGATTTCTTTTTCTATTTTAATGATGGATTTAAATAAAAAAAATCAACTTGTTTAAAAACTTATAATCAACTGGAAAATAACTGTAAAAGTAACTACTTAAATCATTTATTAAAATGTTGGACCGATTTTTGAAGTAATGTCGTGTGATTCTAATAGACTTCTAAACTGCAGAGATATGTTTTGAAATAATGGAGTGACAGAAATCCGGTTAGGGTTAAAAAATCTGGTAGGTTATTCTTTCCAAATTTCTACCGCATAATTTCTACCGACATTTTAATCTGCAGTAAGTATTTTGCAGTTTGAATATTAGATGGTGCAAATTTCATTCTCGGCTTAAGAAAGTCATGACCATTTCTAAACCAAATCCCTTTGATCTAAACGGGCGACTTTTTTACGGAAATAGCGGTATCGGGAAAGTAAACAAAAAAAAAACACTAAAAAGGCATTTAGACATTCATCTACATTTTACAGAAAGAGATCGAGGCTTTTGCAAAATAATAGTAGTAGTGATATCTTGCCTTCACCCACGAATGTTTTTTATTCGGAAGAGATGCTGTATTACACTGGTGCATCTTAATTTCATTTTTAAGCTTAGGAAACCAGCAGACTCCATCCTCCTCCCACATGTGAGGTACTGGTTCCAATTCTTTTAAATTTTGTATATATACTATCT